TTATCCAAATATTTGAAAAATAAAGCAAGCGTAAGTACATGTCGTACTCAACAAATATAACATGGGGTTCATGAAGCTCAGAAGGCTGATATTGGTTAAACTGCGATTAGCTTTTAATGAGTCATCTTTTAGCAATTGGGTGGCAACAAGTTTATTCATAAGCCCACATAAACACATGATCAGGTAAACGTGAATAATGAATAGCATAAACAGTAATCATTAGTGAGCATCTTTATCATCAGTGTTCATCATCATTAACCATTAATGATCATCTATTCCATAAGGGTCCAAGGCCACTCGTGATCGTGAGCACGGCTGATATACCTGTTTTACACTCTGTAGAGGTTGTACACTTTCACTGTGAGTCATGATTTACCCTTTCGCCCGAGGCGACCAACCTCTTGACCCACTGCCAAGGAAGGTTGGCAGGGTTTACTATGAAGCCTTTCAAAGGTTCATCTAACAAGTTAGGGCCATTAGATTCACTCGACAAACAGTTATAGGAACCCTCCTGTCGAATGGCACAATAACACGCAGCCTATACACATAAGAGTAGAGGTTGTCCTATACCCGATTCGGCAAGCCATTCTTACGCCATAAAGGTAACCTCTAATAAGCTAGAAAAGGTCCTCATACTAAGCTAAAGCTAGAGCCATGTAGCCCTCACAGTTGTACTGTAAGTCCTGAATGTTCGCTTATAGATAAGTACTTAGGGAGATAAATCTAGACCATCATAAAAATAGTCCAATGCTCTAGCCCCCTTGTTCCATGTTGCTAAAAAGCATCTTTTAGTGTTTATTGCATATACCATTAGTCAAGTTACAAGATCATGGTCTTGAATTGAGCACTAGCATCATACTACCCAATACATAAATCCATAGCTATCAAGGAATCCAAGATATCAAATAGCTAGAAAAATTACTACGGTTGCCAAGGTAGACACATGCATATGATTAAAATGATATTAAGGTGAATAGGACAATAAGGAAGATCCCATGCTATACTTGCCTTAAACACAGATTCTTCTTCAAATCGAAACCTTCAATGAATTGCTTCTGGATTCACCACATATAGCTCACCGAATAGACATGATCATAGAACACCACACAAGCATCCATGCAATTATACACGAAGCAAATAATAGAATTAAATTAAAACAGTACACCAACATAATAAATAGCAAGTAAAAAGGTTTCAAAGATGTTCTACGCGTAACTATGAACACACAAACATGAAAATCACTCTAATCAGAGCTATAACGAAAAAGTTATGAATTAAACAAGATTTCCTTTAAAATAATAGATTAAATCTAACCTCAAATTTCAAAATTTGAAAATATATTTAACAGTGGCATAAATATGTAGATTATGTAATTACAAATCTAACGCAACTTGAACGGATCAAATCGGAGTTAAAATAAAGAAGTTATGGCCTAAACAAGGCTAGTGGCAAAACTGTAAATAGATGAAAACGTATTTTGGATCTAACAGAGGAATTTTACGCTTTCTGAAAGAGAAAATATATTCTGGAAGTGCGCCATGGACTGTGGGTTAGAACTTAAAAACTTGCGGGGCTCTTTTGAAAGATTGCCGGCCGAACCGGTATGGCGAGATCTGAGCCGTTGGATCGGTGATGGACGGTTCAAAACAAATCGAGTGGGGGATGAGGCTGCCAGCGTCGCTGTGTGTGGCGGTGGCACCATGGATAACGGTGAGACCTCGCCAGTGTAGTTGGAACATGGCCTATGGCCTACACGACGAAACAAACCGAAGAAACCTGGAGATAGAGGAAAACAAGGCGAATCCAACCAAGCATCTTACCGAGGCTCGGAGCGAATGGGAGTGGCGTGGTGCTCGGAGTGGCGGGTGGTGATGGTGGCGGCACAAGGGTTTGGCGGTGCTCTGTCTCGGTGATTCAACGAGGAGGCTGCTACTTAGAACGGGATAGGGAGAGGTGGCGCGGTGCGGCTCGATATTTATGGTTGAGAGACTTGGGAGGCACGGCAAGGGAGGAGGCGTGGGCAGCGCGGAGTCGAATCGAGCGGCGGTGGAGCAGAGTCCGGGTGGAAGACGCGCGGGAGGTTGAAGACCCCGCTGACAGATGGGGCCGGGGTGGCAGCGAGACAAGGCGGGATGAGCGGAGAACGGCGCGGCTACGCTGGGCCGGCCTGCTGGGCTGCGGCGGCAGGAACGGCCTGCGGCGAAGGGAAAAGGCCGAGCGGGGAGCACGCCGCGCGCTGGGCCAATGAGGGGAGAGAGCAGGTGGGCCGCGGAGGAGAAGTGGGCTGCTCGGGCCAAAAGCCAAGAAAGGGAGAAGAAGAAAATGAAATTCTTTTTTTATTTTCAAATCCATTTTCAAACCATTTCAAAAGCATTTGAAATTATTTTGAATTTTAGACAAAACCACTCGTCATAAAAATAAGTATGCACCAGCATGAATGCACAAAAATATTGCTAAGTCTTATGATAAATTTTAATTTAATGAAAAATTATTATTTACCTATGTTTTCATGAGCATAAAATACAAAATTAAATCAATTTATATCTATTTCGAAAAGAGGGAATTTTAGGGTGTTACGCATGTCTGCCTATTCGGAGTCGACATTTGACTTCCGTCCTTTAAAGCCAAAATCCGCTTTAGGGAAACTCCTTCTTCTTACATTTATCTCCCGAACAATTGGTTCGTACATGCCGAACCCCTCTCCCAGTAAACTCCTCGCTCGCAACTCTGAAAGAGTGCAAACCAAGGTCACTGGCCAACGCAAGACCTTCACGGCATGCCACTACCTCCATCGCCTCTAGGTCCGACTGCCCTGCCGCCACCAGGACAGACGCCCCCAGGTAATTGCCATCTTCATCACGGGCCACTGCTACGACCGCCGCTTGGCCTGAGTTCATAGACATCGCCGTATCAACATTGATTTTATCCAAATCTCTCTAAGAAGCAGGCGTCTGGCAGCCCAGATGCTTCCCCTGGTGGGCCCCGACGTACACGAGAACGGCCCAATGTTCTCACCCAATCGGTTGCCGTGGTGGCTAGTCTGCGGCGTCTTCTTGATCACGACTGGCCATGCACTCAGCCCGCTCTGGCGTCTTCTTCAGCGCGACCTTTTGTCGCTGCGCCAAAGACCGCCACGGCGATGCTCGCCGATGCCCTCATTGGCCGTATGTGCTCCCCAAGACACACCAAGACCACTCTAGCGCCGCCTGCGTGCGATGCCGTACCTGTCCGACCACCGCTGCCGCCTCCATCAGAGGGGTGCCACTCGTCAGGAAGCGGTCAGCCACTCCGAGGGCCGCCTGACCACCCGCCCTGCCGCCATCCTCCTTCTCCACCGTGACCGCACAACCGGATCCCGTTGTGCAGTGCTCCGTCCATCCGTCGACCAGGATTTGCTGAAAGCGTATGCTGCAAGCGTATGTTTTAAGTATTTTATATGTTTCAAAGGTATGTTGCAAGTGTTTCATATGGATGTTGCAGAAGTAGATCGAGATGTCGCATATGTTGCAATGGCTATACATATATGTTGCAAGCGTCTGTTCCAAATGGTTCATCTGTTTTTTTTAGAAGTATGTTGCAAATGTGTTTATTTGGATGTTGCATATGTTTCACACATATGTTGCAAGTGTATTATTTGGATGTTGCATATGTTTTGCAATGGCTTTTCAAGTGTTTTTAGGGTTTTTTTTCAACTGTTTCAGACACATGTTTAGTGTTTCATCTGTCTTCAAGCGTATGTTGGCATGTTGCAAATATTTCATCTAGATGTTTTCAAAGTAGACCGGATGTTGCACACATTACAAATGGCGTCGATGGCTGGCGGACAGCGGCCTGTCACGAGGCTTCGGCTCCTACCCCTCGCCTTCCTCGGTGCGCCTCGCCCTCTCCTCTCCTCTCCCTCCTCTCGCTTCTCGTCCCTCCATCTCGTCGCAGCAGTTCGAGCTCGGCGGGTAACGGAGGGGGCACATACGGCCCCGCGTGTGGGCGGGCAGCGTGGGTCGGACAAGTCATCTGAGCATCGCGGAATCCAAGCGGCCGGGGCGCACTACACAGAACAAGAGCAGGAAACAGAGAGCAGCCATGGGCATCTAAACGCGCGCGCCGAGTGCTAGCACTTCCCTTTTAATTAGCACATCATACTTTGTTTAATGGGCGAAACAACTTCAATAACGGAGAGAGTATTAATCTATATCTCTTATAAAGCTAAACCGCACTACAAGTTTTATCTCAACATGTAAGACATCCACATTATTTTCCACTGCCTATCCACATCTCCTCCACACTAATAGCCATATCAAACCCCACTACAAGTTTTATCTCAACATGCAAGACATCCACATCATTTCCCACTACCTATTCACATCTCCTCCCACTAATAGCCATGTCATCGCACTAATTTTCAATCTCTTAATGCAAGCTATTTACACCATCTCCACTAAGCACAATTTAATTTCAACATATAAGAAATATAGAGGCATTCATATATTGCTATTTATTTTGTCATTCCATCGTCTTATAATTTGATCTAATTCTGTTAGTTTTTTTATAGGATTCTTTCCTTGCCATCTCTAATTTTGGGAAGAATGGATGAAAGAATATATAGGTTTAATTCATACACTAAGAAATTTCCACAGCAATACGCGGGGTATCCATCTGGTTATATAAATAGATATGCTGCAGTGCTGGCGCCATTTCTCAACCGAGGGTATCGAAAGGGCAGGCCACATTTTTTTTTTTACGAAACATAGTGACACAACAGACATCACACACAGCAAATTGGTAATTGTATAGATTTGATTTCATACATTGAAGCAGGTGACGGTGGTAAACAAAATGCCACTTGTGAACTACGGGTCTACGGCTAAAACTGGAACAACAATCCATGACTTCGGACAACAGACGAACTGGTATGACCGCTACATGCCTTAACAGCCATGCCCTTTTTATCTCTGTATTATATTTGTAAATCCGTTGTCTTGTGCCTTGTAAACCATATGACATCAAGCAGCGGGAACCTTCCTTCCATCTTCAATGAAGAAAATGGCCGATTCAGGAACCTGACAAAGAACAAAAGCAATGACAATTCAATAATAAAATACAACTGGCTTTGATGGAAGCAATAATATTCTCAACCATTACCAGCACATGGTGACTGCTACAATCATATTATGCACACAAACTTCTCAGAAATCAAGGATTATCATTTTCAACAGTTTTACATGGCAACTTGTCACATACTTGAGCCATAGTTCACTGGACAAGATAAAAGGAGTAAAGGACATCCGAATCTACTCCTTATTAGTCAAAGAAAAGGTACGGCAACATTATTTGCTTATACCAAAAAAGTATATTTTCACTAAAATTTCTACTACAAGCAAGATTTATATAAGGAACACTTGTAGTGTTTGCGCGTCAACAAAGTAAACTAAGAAAAAAGAGATGTTCCTACTTCAAGCGGTGTGGTAGAGAACAAAAATTGAACAGGAAAAACCCATGGACAGCCTCATTATATCTGCCACCTCATTTAACCACGGTCCAGAAACAAGATAACATAATGGTATTTTGGTTCTCTAATTCCTATTCCAATCATAGAGCACCAAGTGATAGTTTTCCACTTTATCAGTTTAGACTAGAAGTACATTATTTAACGAAATTTGTTTCATTCCTCAATACAAATATAATTGTTTCATAAAATATTTAGTTGATGTGTTCCACATACTGCCGTGTGCTGTGACACCAAATGAATTAAGTGGATATAGTATCAGAAATTATAAGGTCGACACAGTATCAGAAAACTTACATACATGGAAGCAAACAAAAAGATTTAAAACATAATAAAATGCAGGGATGAATTACATCAGGCCATGTATCTGTAATGAACTCCACAATATCATATGATATGTCCCCTTGCACGTCAATTTGCTCCTTCTCAGTCGGGCCCTAAGGAACAGAGCAGAGAAGAATCTGATCCAGCAATGCTCAAATTCCAAAACCACTATAACATCACAAACCACGACAAGGTACCTTCACAACAGAAGCTCCGGTTGCAAACTTCTTCCCAAGCTTCTTCGAAGCATCACTCAGCTTTACACCTAAAGGTTCAGGGAAGAACATATAATCAAATTCATTGTATTGAAAACAGCTATCATCCAAAACTTCTAGGAGGGTTCAATTTATCATACATGTAGCAACTCATTCTAGTGAACTTTGACGTGACCATTTCACTTGTAAAGATTTTCTTTCAGAAAACAACTCACCAAACAATTCAAGTCCTTTCACCACAGTAACACATTTGCGCTTGTTGCGGACAATCTTCTCAATGACCACCTCTTGCTTTTCCTGCAATTGGAAAGGAACAATGTCATTAACGAAATTCATTGTACCACAAACGAAGAATGCTGTCTACAGACACCTCAACTGGCCTAAACTCAGAAAGACAGCAGCTCAATAGCAGTTCATCAAAAAACAAGACATTGGCTAAACCGCTAAATCAACCGTAGATCGGGCACAGAACAAGAGGTTATCTAAAACCACTTCAATGAGGTATAATACTGTAACAAATGATCACTGAACAAGGTCACACAGGCTAGCAATCAAATGTAGATCACCATGATTCAACTGTAATGAGGTGAATTCTTCGGTCACACAGGCTAGCAATCAAATGTAAATGACCATGAATCAACTGTAATGAGGTGGATTCCAAGGAGTGAATGACAGGGGACCAACCTTTTTCTTGAGCTTACCACCAGGCAGGCGCTTCACCTCTTCGGGCTTAGACGCAGAAGCATCCCCTGAAACGACAGAGCATGAGCAGCACACAGAGATCAGAGATCAATTTCGGCCCCTCCAAATAGCATCGCAGATCGAAGGTCGGCATCCATCATTCTCCCTAACCCCTACCCACTACGAAAACCACAGTGGGGGTTCACAGCACGAGGTAAGGCGGGCACGGACCTGCGGCGCTAGTGGAGCCGTCGGAGATCGCGACGCCCTGGAGGCGCTCCCCGACCTTGTCGACGTCCTTGTCGCCGCCGCCTGCGCGCCCGGGCAGATCAACCAAGCACATGCGTGTCAGACTAGGCGGCAGCGCGAAGAGGGGGGAAGGAAGGAAGGGCCGCGGGACGAACCGGATGAGGAGGAAGCGGCGACGAGGTCGTCCGGGTAGACGCCGGGCGCGTGCGCGCGCAGCCAGGGCTTGCAGCGCTCGAAGTCCGGGCCGAACTCGCAGTACTCGGCGGGGAGGCCGCAGACGCCGCAGTAGAGCACCCGCACCGGAGCCGGCTTCTCCGCCGCCATCGCCGCTGCTTCGATTCGGTTTTGCGGGCGTGGGGGCTGGCGATTGTTTGGGCAACGAAGTCGCTTGTGCTTTGCTTACCCGTGTCTCTGGTGCGTGCTCGTGCTCGGCTGGTCTCTTGGGCCGTCGGAGGTAGAGAAAGCCCGGAAAGAGAATGGGGGTATCGAGGGAGTGGTCTGATATTGGGCCTTACTGGGCCGACAGAGATGAATTGATGGATGGGCTGTATTTAAAGCTCTCTTGCTGGCCTACCGAAAAAGTAATTCGTTTGTTTTTCGTTCATCTTCTTTTTGTGTCCATATAATATTATTACTGATACGGTGATTAGTGATACATTGTAGGAGTACTACGTTTTGAGGCTTAGGGAAAGCGGTGATTAGTTTGTATTTCTACACGCACCATGCTTCGAAACGAGCAGAAATGATCGATCGATCTTTTGATGCTGACGTAGAGCCGATCATCTCTGCAATTTGCAGAGAAATTATGGACCTATTCGTTTATCTTATAATCCGTACTTTTCAGCTTGTTTTTTCAGCCGAAACAGTGTTTTTCTCTCCCAACAAATTAGCCGGAACAATGTTTTGGCTTATTTTTTCAGCAAAGCGAATGACGCCTACGGTGGTGATGGATATCGCGACAGACGAGTGTAGCCCGCCGGGCCCATAGTACGCGCGTGCAACAAGCTCTGTCAGTGTCACCGTGTGTGGCGCCATGGCGTGGAATAAGCAGTCCACGGTGCCATTTATGGGCAGCATGCACCAGCCACGGCACGCCATAGTAAATTCGTAACGTCGTTGCAGGCACGCACTGGCGGCTAGCTAGCACGGCAGGTGGACCACGGACCGGTGACTGTCCGTAAGAATCCTACTACTACCTGGTAGTAATCGTTACGGCATGCATCAGTAGATCCAAATAGCAACGACGACTTGATTCAAAAAAAAAAGGCAACGACGACTAATGGGGTAAAATGAAGTATCGAGTCAATAAAAAGCTTCTCCCGTTAGTTAGCTTTCCTAGAGCTAAACATTTAATTAAGCTTGGCGCTGTGGAAGCTGCAGCAGTGCGATCGTGCAGACACGAGAACCATGCCTGGTGTGTGCGTGTGAACAGTTACTGTTCCCCGGCTCCGATCTGGCATTGACCGTTCGTCTCGTCTCGATCGTGTTGGCATGTTTGTTTTGGTAACTACTACTAGCTCCCGGTGCACACACGTACACACACGTACGACTGGACTAGTGCGCGGATAGATGCGAATAATACGAGTACTAGCTAGCTAGGTCCGTGCGGGCCTCGTGTTGTCGCCGTACCTCGGAATCCGGCCGGAAGCTACAGCTAGGCACGAGAAAAAAGGGTCGTCGTCGCGCTCGCGTTTCATCGTCCGATCCGCCGGCGCCCGCCCTGGTCCGGTCCGGCTTTGGAATTCGATCGTCATCATCATTGCGCGCGCGCTCATATGCACGCAGCACCACCAACAGTCAACGTCCACGTTCACCACCAGGCAGGCAGCAGCCAAAGAACACCGAGGCTCGGAACTTTCTCTGCGTGCGCAGGGGACAGAGACCTCACACTCACACACACAATCGAGATCCGTAGTGCTAGCGCACGTACGTATAGACGGACGCCCAATCTGCACTCTGTTTCCGCGCACGCCTGCACTCCATGTCCGCGCACAGCACGCCCCCGCCCGCGTCGACACGGGCCCTCGCTGCCCGGGCGCGGGGACCGCTCGCACCCCATCCGCTTCTCACGCATATTACAACATGTGCAACACCTGATCTACTTTTAAAACATCCAAATACAATACTTGCAACATACGTCTAAAGACAGATGAAACACTTGAAACATACGTATGAAACATTTGCAAAAACACTTGAAACAATTGCAAATATACGCAATATCTAGATAAAACACTTGCAACATATATGTGAAACATATGCAACATCCACATAAACACATTCAACATGTGTCGAAAAAACAGATGAAACATTAGAAACAGAAGCTTGCAACATACGTGTACAACCATTGAAACATATGCAACATCCCGATCTACTTTTGCAACATATATATAAAAAACACTTGCAACATACCTATGAAACAACTGTAACACCATAAAACATATGCTTGTAACATGCGTTTTTCACTCCTCTTTTTCCGGACGACAAAGAGCAGAGCGGGAAATGACCAGTTCCGGCAAGCCGGCGGCTGAGGATGGTGGCACGGCCTGGCAGCGGCCAGCTACGCCTACGCCTGGCTTGGGCCCAGCCAGCGACGGCCCCCTCTTCTGATCGCCTAGACACACACATGGCGGCTGGAAGGAGCCGCCAACCTCAGCAAGGTCAGAGAGGATGTCCGTGAGGAGCGACAGCACGACAACGGGGTGCGGGGACGAGGAGTGGTGCACGCGGCGCGGCCGTCTGGGTTGAGGAGCAGGTGTAGGAAGCAGCACGCGTGCTCTCGTACGAGCAAGCAACGACTGCGTTTCCCATCTGGAGGAAGGAGAAGAGGAGCTAACGTCGGGCCCACACGTAAGAGAGAGGGAGGAAATAAGTGGTGTGGCTGGTTGGGCTGCTGGCCATTTGGCCTAGGCAGAGGGAGCGAGCGCGGAGCGGTCCATTCGGACGGACGGAGAGACGCTCGCTTCATAGCATTACCAAATAGATCGCCCTTCTCCACTGGAACAGAGTAGTAGTAACACCTACTTCATCTGTCTAAAAAAGTGTATTCTCATTTTTCGAGAAGTTAAACTATTTTAACTTAGACCAATTACATGCAAGAAAAATTTAATATTTATAGTACATATTTAGTATCGTTAGATAGAATAACGTTGAATTCATTTTCATAATAAACTTATTTAGAGCTATAAATATTCTTAATACTTTTTACAAATTTAGTTAAACTTAGAAAAAAGTTTGATTTGATCGGCACGAATATAACTATACTTATTTAGGGACGGAGGTAATATAGCTTAGCTTGTGTAAACCGTGAAACGTGTACGTAATATTGATCTGCCGTCATGCTCCGTCGACCCTCTCGCCGTTTTTTTTTTCTTGGTTGACCGATGATCGTCATCGATACGATGTCGCTACGTATCCACGTTTCACATCCACCGTCACAGCTGGCTGATCCTTCAAAGGAAGCCAGAGTTGATTTCGACAAAATTTTCTAGAACGTCCAGCAGATCCATTACATTACTTATCTGAGAGTCATAACTGTATTAGTCGTGAGATAGAATACGCCAGTCAATTGGGATGAAGCGCTAGACGTACGTGACATAGCTCGTATTTTCCTGAATCTTTAATTTAATCTAATACCATCGTCAGTGTATACTCTTGCTGATTAAGAACTCCTTTTGGAGTCGCCACCAGAAAACGGAATACGGAGTATGCAGTTAATAATTTTCTTGAGGGCAAAAATCTTCGGTTCATTTTTTATTTAAAACCGTTTAGAGTCTTAAATATTCATTACAAGATTCACTAAATGAAAAGAAAAGAATCATTTACTTAGTCACAAGTTACTTCAGGGTGCAGTGGTAGATGTGCTTGAGCGAAGCCTTAGAAAAACTCCAAGAGACCTTTTATATCTTTCCTAATTGAAAGTACCCCTCAAAATTCATCCAAATTGTTCACCTCCACCATTATTATTCAAAATAATCTAAAGTACATGTTTGCATTTTTCATCTAGAATGCCCACATTTATCATTATAAATGAATATTTTAAAGAACTTCTATGTACGCTTCCAAATTGTCTACTTCTATCCATGGGAGGATATGGGCCTAGGGTCAATACCCGTGGCCCTAGACATAGCCCATAATAAATCCCCTTACCCAACCGAAAATTTATAATCCAAAGTCTAGGTACCCTTAGGTGTGGCTCAATATTTTCTTCCACTCCCAAAGGGTCCAAGGCAACAGCGTCTCCCCCAAGCCAATGCAAGCAGTGTGCGTGACTCGGCGCTTCCCTTCTCTCACACCCATGTCTCTCTCATCTCATCTCTTGCCCTCCTGAATAGGGAGAACCCGGCCTAGGTGGCGCATTGCGGTGCTTCATTATGTGTGGCAACTTTTCACACCACATATACATTTGTAGTATACAAGAAGTGATGATGATTGTCAATGAAATATACATGGTGACTTCATCAGCTTGTTTTATAGAGTACTATTTGCGTGCGTGCATTTATATGGATAAGTATGTACGTGTTTTGTACTGAAAAAATAATCCATACTGCAATTGTTTAAAACTAGGTCTACATGAATTTCGTTTTGTTAGAAAAAACCTTTGACCAACAAATTATATATTAATACATGATTTTTTTAATTTAAAATTGGAGTCCACAACTACACATATTCATATTGAAAAAAATACTTACTTTTTGTTATGAATTTCTGTCACATAAATAACATATCAATAGATTAATAATTGCAAAGTGAGAGAGCATATATATATCTATATCTAATATTAAAGAGCGAAGTGATTCTTTTTTTTCTTATCTTTTTTTTACTTTCCAATATATGTGCCCTCGAGCTCTCCATATTCCATTTGTGATCGGGACTCACGACCTGTGCTCATATAAGTTAGAATTATTCGCGTCCAACAATGATACAAGTCCAATTTCAAATCATATTGGTTCCGTTGCAACACATGGGCACGTTTATTTGCTAGTCTAGCTATATATCTATATCTATGCATGCATAATACATAACAAGTTCATAAAAATGGTTTCTACCAACTGCTTTTTACTTCATACAGGGGCCATTGCACCCTCCTTGTCCCCGCACGTGACATGAACTCACGACTCCATATGAGTTAGAACAATGCAGTCTAACAGTGATACAAAGTCCTATTCCAAGACTATTGGAATGAATGGGATAACGTGGTTGTTGAATAAATTTTCGAGTTGCAAATCATACAGATAACCACGCAAACATATTTACATATAAAAGGTACCGTTTCTTCCTAATTGGTTCTCTCCCACACGTATCAAGGTCGAACCCCCACATGCATA